TAAAACATCTGAGAATCCACACAGGTGAGAGGCCTTTTTGTTGTGAAACCTGTGGAAAAAGCTTTTTACGACATCAAACCTTGAAGCACCACATGAGAATCCACACAGGTGAGAGGCCATATGCTTGCAGCATTTGTCAGAAAGGATTTCATTCTAAGTCTAATTTGAGTGAACATCTAAAAACCCACACAGACCAGAGGCCGTTTGTTTGCAGTACTTGTGGGAAAACATTTAATATTAAGTCCAATTTGATAAAACATCTGAGAATCCACACAGGTGAGAGGCCTTTTTGTTGTGAAACCTGTGGAAAAAGCTTTTTACGACATCAAACCTTGAAGCACCACATGAGAATCCACACAGGTGAGAGGCCATATGCTTGCAGCATTTGTCAGAAAGGATTTCATTTTAAGTCTAATTTGAGTGAACATCTAAGAACCCACACAGACCAGAGGCCGTTTGTTTGCAACATCTGTGGGAAAGGATTCAATCAAAGATCAGTGCTGAAGTGTCATTTAAGAATCCACACAGGTGAGAAGCCATATTGTTGTGAAATCTGTGGAAAAAGCTTCACACACCGTAAAACCTTTAAGGACCACAGGAGTGTCCACCCAGATGAGAAGCAGTATTATTGTGAAACCTGTGGGAATCATTTTAGCTGTTATGTCGACTTGTCTGAGCACATGAGAGTCCACACCAGCCAGGATCCGAAGGGAAGCCAGTATGAAGACTCAGGATCAACCAGTCACAGTAGCAATGTGGACAATTCCCCTGTCAGAGACTGACTCTGATCCTCCCCCAGGTAAAAAGTCTTTACAGAGTGACACTTGTGTAAAAGGTTTTAAGTGGAAGTCCAGTTTGAATGAACATGTGAGAACCTACACAGGTGAGAGGCCGTATTGTTGTAAAACTTGCAAAGGGCTTCAAACAACACAGTGTGTTTGTCGGCCATATGAGAACCCAAGCAGCGAAGAGGGGCTACTCATACTGTAGCATTAATGAGCCAAACTTTAGCCTTTTAATTTGCTGTTAATATTCCAGCATGTCTACTACCGTCGTATAATGCTTGATAGTATATCACAGGGGTTCTCTATCTTAATATTCAAAGGTCTGAATATGATTTCTATTCAAGGTCAAAGGTCCAGAATGATTAGTCATAAGCAAAGAAAAAAGAAATAAAGCAAATTACTTAAATTCCTTTGTTGTCTGCATTGTTTACTGTGTTTATACTGCTTTTTCTGCATTGCTTGCATTGTTTGTTGATGTTAATACTGCTATTTTGTTATATTACACAGCCTTATGCTGGTTTACTGTTTTGCACATTGAGAGTTGATGTACCAGAGTCAAATTCCTCGTGTGTCCATCACACCTGGCCAATAAAGTTGATTCTGATTCTAAAATTTTTTTTTTATTACCTGTGGCTTAACAGTTGTGTTTATGAAGCTCAGAATGTTTCCTTTTTTGGTGAAATTGCATAAATTCACTTATTAATTTATTATTGAGGCCATAGTTAAAGGTGGTGTTGTACTGGACTACATTATATTTAGAGGTGTTTCTAATATTTTGACCCTCTCGTGTATGTAACCGGGAAGGACAAAAATTTAGAGACACCCCTGAATATAATGTAGTCCAGTACAACACTACCTTTATCTGTGACCTCAGCTACAAATGCATAATTTAATATATACATGGCAGCTTCACCACAAATTGAAACATTTTCATCTTCATAAACACAGATGATAAGGCAGAAGTGTTGCATTCAATTGCATACAAGTGTACCTAATAAAGTGGCCAATGAGTGTACATTCATGTTTAAGGCAGTCTGAGAGAAAACGTGTTCAAGCCTAGCAGGAAAAATGCCATAGTTTGACTGAGGATTCAGTAGCAGCTCTCTTACTGTGTCACAGATCTCACAAACAGCTTTGTCTATTCATAGGAACATTGTAACTGTTCAGGTTTTGCTGTCCGCACCTCTGTGCTCCCAGTCTCTGTGCAAATGAAACACAAGGGCCTTGTGCTGAATTGGGTAAAGTTGAGCTCATATTTCTCTGTCCTCTCATCTTTGACAACCGATTTCTGGTCAGCTTTTCCTTTCTTTACACATTTGGATAGTGTCATCCTTACCGCACTGATGATGTAATGTGCACTGTTAACCATTAGCTAGCTTGGGTGCCTGTTAGCCTGCCCTTTAGCTTTGTCACTTGATGACGTAAAATGTCAAAAGCTCGCCGGCTGTCAATGTTTCCCTGGCAATGATGTCAAACACGGAAATGATTACGTTTAGGTTCATTCTCGGGCCAGGATCACTGTAATGATCACCAATGAGAATGTAATCTATACAACTAACAATTTATTGATAGGTATAAAACACTTTTTTAACTAAGGAAAGATGCACTTCATTGTATTGTTGCATTCCTCGTACGAGGTGGGGCTAGGTCTGGCTGTCGAACTCTGCATTTGAGAGCAAATAAAACCTGGTGAATAATCAGCTACATAAACATTACTTTTGTTTTTTCTCTCATCACATCAGTGACCTGTTCCTTCCTTTGTCCCTCCAGAGCTGCCACAGCAATGTCTCTGTCAGGAGGAGGAGGAGGCTCTGGCTGACCAGCAGATCTGGAACCAGGAGAGGAACTCCAGTCTGGACCAAGAGGACCCAGAGCCTTCACAGGTTACAGAGGAACAGGAGGAGCTCTGCAACAGTCAGGAGGGAGAGCAGCTTGGACTGAAGCAGGGGACTGATCCCTTTATGTTGACTCCTACTTATGAGGAAAGTGACCACAGTGAAGCAGAACCATCCAGTGACCAGCAGCTACTCTCTCCCAGCTCTGCTGTAGTTGAGAGCCAGGATCAGGAAGGAAGCCAACATGGAGACTCAGGATCAGCTAGTAATGCAGAGCCAAAGCCAAAGAGGAGACGTCACAAAGACACAAGTCACAGTAGCAATGTGGACAACTCTCCCCTGTCAGAGACTGACTGTGATCCTCCCACAGATAGAAAGTCTTTGCAGTGTGACACTTGTGGGAAAACGTTTAAGTACAAGTCCTATTTGAAAGAACATCTGAGAAGCCACTCAGGTGAGAGGCCTTATTGTTGTGAAATCTGTGGTAAAGGCTTCACAGACTTAAAAACCCATAAAGAACATATGAGAACCCACACAGGAGAAAAACCATATTCTTGTAAAACATGTGGAAAAAGCTTCACACGACATAATGCCCTTGTGGTCCATATGAGAAGCCACACAGGTGAGAACCCGTATGTTTGTAAAGTCTGTGGGAAAGGATTTAAGCAGTCACCAGCACTGAATTATCATTTAAAAACCCACACAGGTGAGAAGCCACATTCTTGTGAAAAATGTGGAAAAGGTTTCATATATAGCAGTTCCTTGTCTGCCCATATGAAAATCCACACAGGCGAGAGGCCATATGCTTGTAACACCTGTGGGAAAAGCTTCCAGCGGTCCTCGCAATTGAAAGTTCATTTAAGTACTCACACAGATGAGAGGCCATATGTTTGCAACACCTGTGGGATAACCTTCCAGCACTCCTCACAATTGAAAGTTCATTTAAGTACCCACACAGGTGAGAAGCCGCATTCTTGTAAAACGTGTGGAGAAAGCTTCCAGCAACGTAAAATCTTTGTGGAACATATGAGAATCCACACAGGTGAGAAGTCTTATTGTTGTGAAACATGCGGAAAATGTTTCACACGTCACAGTTCCTGGTGGGTGCATATGAAGAGCCACACGGGTGAGAGGCCGTATGTTTGTAACACATGCGGGAAAAGATTCCAGCGGTCATCACAACTTAAAGTTCATTTAAGAACCCACACAGGGGAGAAGCCATATTCTTGTAAAATGTGTGGGAATTGTTACATAGACAGGAAGGGCTTGTTGGCCCATATGAAGATCCACACGGTTGAAAAGCCCTATGTTTGCAATGCTTGTGGGAAAAGATTCAAGTATTCCTCACAAGTGAAAACGCATTTAAGACTTCACACAGGTGAGATGCCGTATTGTTGTGAAACATGTGGAAAACGTTTCATATATTGCGCATCCTTTTTGGCTCACATGAGGATCCACAGAGGTGAGAGGCCATATGTTTGCAACACCTGTGGGAAAAGCTTCCTGTGGTACTCACGACTGAAAGTTCATTTAGGAACCCACACAGGTGAGAAACTGCATTCTTGTGAAACATGTGGGAAAAGTTTTTTATATAACAGTTCCTTGGTGGCCCATATGAGGATCCACACAGGTGAGAAGCCGTATGTTTGCAACACATGTGGGAAAAGCTTCCCCTGGTCCTCACAATTGAAAGTTCACTTAGGAACCCACACAGGTGAGAAGCCATAATACTGCAGCACCTGAGGGAAAAGCTTCTGAAATCAGACATTAAAAGACATAAGAATTTTTATGTACAGTTTGTATGTCTGTGATGCCAGTATTAAATTGGTTTCGGTGTGGAGTTTGAATGGCCTTAAATGTCTTAGATTTATATGCATCTGGACCACAAATTTGTTTGTAGGATTGGTAATTGGTAATTGGTTTTTAATTTTAGCATAATATTTGAGACAGCAGCAAGGCTCGATATAGACCGAGTTCGAGGAAGAAAAGCAAAGAGAAGATGATGGAGACAGCTTGGGCCGCTAGCTGCTACTCACACCTCTGAAGAGGTTGGAGCAGATCTCCACATCAGAATCAGAATCAACTTTATTGGCCATGTCTGTTGGACACACGAGGAATTTGACAGTTTACAGTTGCTCTCATTGTGCATGCAATGCTTTTCCATAAGGCAACAAGTAAACAAAACGGAGTGAACAAGAAAACAAAAAATGTGTAGACAACAGAAAACAGTGTTTGGAAAATAAAGTAGTTATACATTTAGAAATTTACATAAACACAGTTTAGATAGTTTTTCAGATAGATGCATACAAAGATGTATTTACAAGGTATTTAACCCATAAATATACACATTATTCAGATATATTCTAAATTTCAGTAGTGACTTTGTTGCCTGAAAAATATCAAAGATTAATAAAGAAGAATCCTCTTTATTGTAACACGTACAACAAAATTTTGTTTGGAGCCCAGGGCTGCTGCGTGTGTACACACCGCGATCAGGGGCAACTTGGGGATTCAGTGTCTTGCCCAAGGACACTTTGACATGTAGACTGCAGGCACAGAGATTCGAACCTTTAACCTTCAGGTTAGCAGACAACTGCTCTACCCACTGCACCACTGTCACCTCCTAGGATGAAATATTCCCAGATTCATTTTCTAGATCTATAAATATTAATGAAATGTTAAAACACAAATGACTCTTCAGTTGTAATAAGGCACAGACAACAAGCTACAACCTAATTTTCATCCAAACGAGCCACTGTGATGAAATGATGTATGGGCAGCAGCTGCGACATGGTTGTGCAGGGAACATCTACAACAGGGGTGCCCACACTTTTTTGCCTTGTGAGCTACTTTTCAAATGACCAAGTCAAAATGATCGACCTACACTAAAAATATTACACACACACACACAAAATATATGTATGAATGAGTGTCGTAGTTTTTATGAACAGTCTGAAAGTGCCGCTCCACATTTCCCTTCTTTGGAATAGTGATGGTAGATTGGTAGATCAAGCAAACACATTTCAAATATAACGTTGTGAAAAAAAGTGCTCCCATTCCGCATGGAATGTTTTCGGTATGTTTTTGGTTTCTTACTTGATTCGGCTCCCCCACTCCTTTTATACCCATCCATCCATCCATTTTCTATACCGCTTAATCCCAAACGGGGTCACGGGGGGCTGGAGCCGATCCCAGCCAGCTGCGGGCGAAAGGTGGGGTACACCCTGGACAGGTCGCCAGTCCATCGCAGGGCCCTTTTATACCCTTTAGTCGAAATTAATTCGAAGGCTGACGAGGTAGTTTGCTCACTGGAGTTTTGCAGTAGCTTGTGCTGTTGACTGTGCATGCTTGGTGACTTGTGTGTCAGAAAAGAAGATCTCAAACTGGCTGCCCTGCATGTCAATCAAGTAGCGAATGCCATAGAGACGATGGATGATAGGCTATATGTGAATGATTGTCACTTCCTGCTTTTCCCATTAGGGGTCGCCACAGCAAATTGTCACACTGACCATTCGCTTGTTAACATTTGGCACGTGTTTTATGCCGGACACATCTAATTTATTTTTGAATGGCACGCGATCTACCAACACTACCTTTGCGATCAACGTATTGGGCACCCATGGTCTACAAAGTGCAACTCTGAAAAGATTGTAAAATACAGAAATATTCAGTAGCTTTGCTCTTAGACACATTTTCCAAACTAAGTGTTGCGGTAAAACCAACAGAAGACCAGTGATGTGTGAAGTGATGTAGGTGACACTAGGCGACCCTAAGGGGGAATAGTTTTGTAATGTGTCTTTTCGGTGTTGCACTTTGCAGCCAGCCGTGAATGAAGCCCTGAGGAACATAATGTAAAAAGAAAGTTGTCATTTTAACAGACTGTTGAAGGAGCAATGTTGCGCATCACGTAACCTCATTACCAGCAATGACATCACGTTCTGTTAAGATGGTTTGATTTTATTCTTTGTATGACTGTATTAGGGCAGCACGGTGGCGCAGTGGTTAGCACCGTTGTCTCACAACAAGATGGCTCTGGGTTTGGGCCCCACTCGGGACCTTTCTGTGTGGAGTTTGCATGTTCTCCCCGTGCTTGCGTGGGTTCTCTCCGGGTACTCCAGCTTCCTCCCGCAGTCCAAAGACATGCAGCTTAGGTTGATTGGTGTCTATAAAATTGCTCATAGGAGTGCGTGTGTGGTTGTTTGTCTATGTGTTAGCCCTGCGATGGATTGGTGACCTGTCCAGGGTGTACCCTCCCTTCGCCCGATTGCCGGCCGGGATTGGCTCTGTGACCCCATTCAGGGATTCAGTGGTAGAAAATGAATGACTGTATTACTCATATTTCTGTTTGTACAGACATTTTGTAGTTGATCAGTTTACTGAACCTCAGTTTTAATGGTTGCCTTAAAAAAAAAAAAAATACAGTTCATTGAATGTATTGTTTTATTCTGTGTTCTTTCAAGTGTTAAATAAAAGCAGAGAAGGTGATGAGAATATTTCTTTCAGTGCTGGTTATTCAGACTAATGTTCCCAAATGGATGAACTGAATGATGTAAGTAAGTAAGTAAGTAAGTAAATTTTATTTATATAGCACCTTTCACAGACAAGGTCACAAAGTGCTTTACAAAGTCAAAAGATAAAAAAGAGATAAATAATATACATAAGCCTAAAAGTACTCACATAGCACAACACAATTTATAAAATGAGCAAACCCAATCAATTAAAAAACTGTCTAAATAAATGTGACTTCAGCTGTTTTTTAAAATCATCAATAGATTCAGTCATACGTAGAGTCAAGGGTAGGGCATTCCACAGTCTTGGAGCTACGACCTGAAAAGACAGGTCCCC